AATTTAAGATAAAAATAACTAATATCAACGTCATAAAAGTGTCCGTTATTTAGAGTGTTCTGTATTTAGAGGCTTTCCTATACATAAATAGTGAAAATGCTCCCGTCCCCGAAAAAAACTTCTGCTATTTAGAGGTGTCCGTTAAGGGAGGTTTCACTGTATAGTATTTCAAAAAATATTACATTATTAACTGTTAATCACTGTGTTCATCATTATTATCGTATATTATCTCATTATTCTGATTTGATCTATTCACTCTACCAAAAAATAGATTCACATTATTAATAGTACTGAGAATTAAAAAAATAATAATACCTATCATATTATTGAATAATTTATTACCTGTACATTGATTATTTCTGACAGGTCACTTACATCATTGTCATGTTCTTTAATTGGTTAATTTTTGTATTCAAATTTGCCAAATTATGTTTAATTTTTTTTTGTACAAATAATTTAGAGCGTTTTTTATTACCAAAATGCCAAGTATTCATTTTTGCCACAAATAAAAAAAAGTAACGATTAACCTAACTGTTTGACTGACCCAACTGATTTATGATGACATACTGAATAATATTTATTAGTCTTTCTATATGATGTTCAAAAAATTGAATATCGGTAGATTATTTTAAATTAGGTGGTAGGTAATACTTTAATTTATCATCTATATTCTAAAATATAACCTATATACAAATAGGTAGAGAGCCTAGATAAATAATAAGATTTAAAATATTATAATAATAATATATAATTATTATTATCTAGGCTCTCTACAAATAGGTATAGTCATTCATTTACATATTATTAAATGTATTCTGTGATTGCTGTCAATATTATTATGTTTATAACTAATCAGAGCCCTAATTAATTTCTCATTGCTCGTATATAATCATGGCGACGGCAGTCACGATTGTGGTGACAAAAAAGTAGAAGAAAAATTCACCTAGTACAAAAATTCCGATTTTAATTAGAGTTTTTCATATTCATATTTTTCTATTTTCCCATCAAATCAATCTTTATACTCTTCTAACAGACTAAAAATACTATCACCTGATGATCCTTAATAACTTACTGTATTTCATTGTATTCACAAATCGAAAATCAAAAATGTCAAGTCTCTAGCCTAACCCTAACCCTAACCTAACCTAACTATTTTGAATTACCAGGAGTTTGCAATTTAGTTCTTTTTTTTTTTTTTTTTAAGTACTGTAATTTCTCCAATTGGCTTTATAACAGATTCTCCCTTGTACGTTTTCAACTTAAAAATATATAGGAAATAATTGAACATATACTAATTTAAATTTAACTAACTTTTTAGGTTATATCAAAACCATGAATTAAGATATACAGGATAGGCGCATAAAGAGCACTTATCAGTTGTTGTGAGAACTGTCCTTAAATCATATAAAATGGATAGAGCTACAGCCACTAGATTTCATATAATATCGATGATAATACATGTTAGCGATGAGTCACCAGGTGAGTAGCTTTTAGCGGCTAGTCGTATATTCGTCACAAATTATCAACACATTTTTTTTTTTCTTATCTATAATGTATTATAGGTACTTTATACAGATCTTAGTTTATCATAAATTCAATAAATTCATGTTTTAATTCATTATAATGTATATTATTATTATCAGTTATTTAATATTTATCATATCATATGGATAAATATGGGACTAGTCGCTGGCACGCATGCGCACCAAAGGCAACTCACCTGGCGACTCGTCGTTAACATGTACATCAAAATATTGAGCTGTGGCTCCACCCATTGTATATGATCTAAGGAACTGTCTTCGTTCTTGATTTGATAGGTAGCGCTTGAAGGTGACAGTGGCGAGTTTTGTACTAATAATGTGATAATCATTATCAATAAAATCCTAACATGGAATCACAGATATCTGTGCATAGAATTCGGGATTTATAAAAATTAGATAATATGTATAATACTCTTATTTTTATTATATTTTTCAACACAAGAAATATGTATAAGTAGTATTCTAATATAAAATAATAAATAATATATGTATACTACAGTCAAAAAAACCTTTAGATTTTAAATTTACTAGTTGGGCAGTTACTGTATTACAATTGATTTCTGGATTTTTTATGTCCGATAAACAAATTTGATAATATATCTTTTTACTAATTTAATTAGTTAAATTAGTAAATTAATTAAACAGTGATATCATTTAGTTAACTTGAAATAAATCTATATTATTTATCAGCATAAAATATTTTAACGCAGCATAAATTACAATACACACTCAAAAGGAGCATTGTCATTAAAATTATGGTCTTGAAAGATTTCATCAATAGCCCATCGACTAACTTCTATTGTAGAGTCTAAATAAGCTTTTAAATTAAAAATTGTTTTCTTTCTTATTTATAAATACAGTAATACCCTTTGTTACTTTTATTAGTTATTAGTGCCCTTTGTCTATTTAATGAATAATAACCACTGTCGGAATCAATAGTTTGTTGATAATAGGATTTTGTTGTGTATCCTGTATATCTTAATTCGTAATTGAAACACTCGCACCCGAATCTATTGCCATACGTACCGGTGCATTCTCAATTAACACATTTACCATTATAAGTCCAATTGATTTAAATTCTGTATTCGACTGAAATATTTCTAACACTTCCTCTTCAATCTCAATATAATGATTTTTTATCTGTTTGAATTACTTTTACTAACTTTTGTCAAATGTCCTACAGAATTACACAACTTACATTTATAACTTTCATATTAAAATTTAAAAAAATTATGATTACCTAACCCACTAGTATGACTTATCCTTTATCCTTGTTGCTCCCTTCTCCATTTTTGGCCTAGTCTGTTCTGTCGAAGATCCTTATTTTCCTTTAACTCCTCCTCCACTTGTTACCCTGAAATCCTTAAATTTATGAACACTCACTGTAGCATCTGCATTTTTTGCAGATACTTTTCTTTTTGCCGCAATATCAATCAGCACGTTTAACTCAATAGAAAGTTCTTCCTCATAGAGTCTGTCTTTAATTCGACCGTTTTTCATATCCCTTATGAATTTGTCCTCCAAATTTTTACCGAAATTACACATTGATGCTGAATTTTTGACTCTGGCGTATCGTTCGCAAAAATCAATTTACATTCTGTTGTAATTTGTCTGAAATAATAAAATCCTTCTATTGGCCTAAAAACTGCTATTTTTGGTGAAAATTGCTTTGCTGACACTGTGCATAGGCGCAGTATATGTTGGACTTGATGAAAGGACAGGGTCACACTAATCTTTAAGTAATTTGTTAGTTGATTCGCCAATACAAGTAATAAGCAGAGGTACTTTAGTCTCTCCTGGAATATTATTTACTTTAAAAAAATTGCTCCAGTTGTTCTTTATTAGTTCACTATCAATCTTAAACTCGGCCACGTAGCCAATGGTTCCAACATATTGTATCTCCTGTGTCTGTGCACTTTGCACCACGTTCTCGAAATTTTTAGGAATTGTATACCAAATAATATATAAGTATACTAACAACTTTCTTAGAGAAAAAACAAATTGTAATAAATTGAATATATTCACATGGCTATACTTAAAATTTTTATATATTAAACACTAAGTTATATGCAGAACAAGTGCAATCTGGGAATGTATTAAAATTATAGTTAACCTTAAACGAAAGCAACTTTTAATACTACAGGGCAGCCACTATACTACAGATATACATATGGTTATGTTCTATTATCATAGAAGGGTCAGTTTTAGGATTACTAGTCCTAAATAATCTGTTGTATTTTTTTATTGAATATTTCTAAGTAAAATAATTTTTCCCTTGTCCATAACAATATAATAAGTGTATCCTTCAAATGCTGTCTTCTCACAACCTTTATTGGATTTAAAAAATTCTATTTCATTAATATTTTTTTAATTTAAAATTTAATATGTCCATGATAACAATGCAATTTAGTCAATAATTTAGTACCTACTTACAAAGGCCAATTGTACTTTCAGTATATTGATTGAAAACAAATTATATGTATTTATTTAAAATTTAATGATGGATTTTTAAACTATATACTTATTATATCTATTATTTTTCATTAGAATTAAAAATTATCCTAACATTTAATATTTACCACTTTAGAGTTTATAATTATGTGATATTATAAAGTCAATTTATCTAGTATATTTAATATATTTTAAATTAATTTTGTTATGTTTAAGGGTCTCAAAATATTGTTAATATTACTTTTGAGTTCACAAACTACTTGCAAATCCATCAACATTAATATCAGAAGTGTTTATGGTTTTCGATAACAAAGTTGGCACTGAAGTCCGGAAACTACCCAAACTACTTTTCATTTATGTCAAAAGTCGGAAATATTCGACATCTGAATGAGCAGCTAACATCAGGGCATCCAGGAGTCTACCAACACATTTTATAACACATTCTTCGTTGTCAAAGGTTAGTGGAAATTCGGGCACATCCCGCTATGCGATCTGAAGGTCGGGACGTTCAAAAAGCCTCGATCAACTATGTGGGAGTTCTGTAGTTTCGTTCACTTGTCAGATACAACCACGGTGGGGAAGTACTAGCACTTGTTTGGCACATGTTAACTTTACTTGACGAATAAATTCACGACACAACTAATGTTTAGAACTGTGAAGAGGCTCATGTCATTTAGTAATCCAGGGTAATCCAGGTCTCAGCCCGTCCAGAAAATCACAGGAAACAGCCGAAGATATTAATCCCAGCTCGTTCCCTTGACTATGGTTTCTCTTGATTAAAATTTATGATGGTATATAGTGAATGGTCTCTGAAATCGATTGATAATTTATAACTGAAAATGAACAGTGAATTCTTCAATAAGATCTACATAAATTTCACCATTAATGCATAAGTGTAATAATTATACGCATAGTTCATCAAAGGAACAAGATATTAATGTAGAATTATTTTTAAATATCATACATAGCTATTACGAATATGTAAGAGATTGTTATCTAAAATGTTTGGCAAAACAAAGAGTTGGTTTAAGTAGTATATTTCAACTAAAAATTAGGTGCACTTTAATTCATAATTACACATCAATATTAAATAATAATATTGGATTCTATATCTACTGTAGGTATTATTAATATTCATTAATAAAGTGCATTAATCTAAAGTAGCTTAGAATTAATCTGTTATGATTAACAAGAGCATCATACATTTTTATTGAACGATTATCATTTTCCCCACAAACTAAATCTTATAACATATTCATTAGGGTGGTCCTTAAAATTGAAGATCAACATTTCAACTGCGCCACCTTCGAATTTGAAACTAAACCATAAAAAATAATATCTGTGTAATTTTATAACGATAGTGCAACCCTAAGACGCCTCAAGAGGGTTGAAATTTCTTTTAAGAGGGTGTATTTTCGTTTTTTTTATATACCTCAAAAATTATTTTAATTAATGGAAAAAGTATACATCATATTATTTGTAGACAATGAATTTATTTAAAAAATATATATCTAGGAGAAAAATTTTAGAACTTAAGTAGTATATTATTTAAATTAGTATTTATAATGTAAAATTTTAAATTGTTATAAATTTTCAAATGTGTTTTGAAAGTGTACTTCGTTTCGCGTCAGGATACTTATGCCAATAGTCGTAAACTGTCTGCATCAAAAATTGTTTTTGTTCCTCGTCTTTAGTAATTTTGTCATTGAAATCAGTTATTAATTTCACTCCCCTCTCAGCTGCATCATTTACAACTTTAACTTGACTAAGTACAGATATACCTTTTTGATAGTTGATAGTTTTGTACCATTCCTCTGGGTTTTGGTTAAGGAAATCTGTAGCAATGTTAAACCTTTCAAAAAATTTCATCGATGAACTGTTGATAAAATCAGAAATTTGTAAACTTTTTAGCAATGTTAAATTATTCATCGGGGTAATATAACGTTTAATAATATTTTCATTTCCATCTTAAATTTTAAGTGAATCTACCATTTTTATTTTCATTGACAAAGGAATATTTGAATCAAAAAATGAAAATGCTGCTGCTTCAGGATTTAGATAAATAGTAATTTCATTGCTTATCATATTCATAGCATCAGAGTGTGCTATGTCAAAAAGGTCCTCGAACTTTTCAATAAAGATATTTTCTTTTTTTATTTGCGTATCAGTTCGCCTGGACGAATTTTTTTGCAAATTTCGCCATTCGTTGTACATCGCTTCTAATTTTGGTATACAATGACGTATTTCTCTGTTCGGAATACGAGCTTTTTGCCAAAATATTATAACCTCTTCTATGACTAATATATATATTTCGTATGGTTTAGATCCAACACTAAAAACACNATCTAAAAAAAAGTATTATTTAAAAATATTATGCGACCCACCCCACATTTTGGGAACCACTGCTATAAGTACCTATTATATTTATTTAATGAAGTTGTATAATATTATTGTACAGTTTTTGACTATGGTATTACTAATTGTGTTTATTTATTTTAAAACATATTAGGTAGTAATGTTATTAAATAATTAACTAGTGAAAAGTAACAATCTAATCTATTGATTAGTCATAATCTTGCAGATTCCGTGACGTATTATAAATTGTCAATCTGTATCTAAATCCTTAATAACTGGTTGTAATGTAAGTAAATATAATAGGTATCATAAAAAATAACTTATTCAGTTTACGTATTAAAACTATTTTGTTCTTTAATTATGTTAAGTAATAAATTACCATACCGTGGGGTTACAGTACTTACTAATTTTATAGAATATAGATACATTTAAATATCATATGTATCTTTTAATGGTTATTATAATTTTTTCTAGCTCATAGAAAAATACCCATTATACACCGACTCGGCCAAGTCATTTTGGGTGAAAAATATGAACAAAATTAAAGCAAAAGAACCCGTTCACAAGCCTCACGGAGTAATGTTTCGAAAAAACGACCGTTTTACTAGCCGTTTAAGTAATCCAATGGATTCGCACAGTCCAGTAGGAACTAGCCATCATGCATATGTTTAGGAAATATATACACAATATACATTACAATAGGATGGCTATTAGTCTAAGACGAAGAAAAAAAAAATTAATATTTTTAATTTCTCACCTCCTAGTTTTGTTCATTAGTATAAGAAAGTAATTTAGGTTAAGTTTGGTCATGATTACTCAACCCCTTCACGTGCCCTAAGAGGGCTAAATAATTGAAAAATAGGGATTTTTGTCGGTTTTTGAGTTTTATCAAAAAAGTGTTGCACTATAACTTAAATTATAGATATTTATATTTTTAATAATAAACATAATTGTACAATTTCTTATAAATCTATTATTTTCCAAGAAAAATGATAAAATATTAAATATTTCATTTATTGTACGAAATTTATTTTTTTTATGATTATTTAATAGTTCTTGGATATATATATATTTCGTATGGTTTAGATCCAACACTAAAAACACAAATAGATATCGTAACAATAACAACTAACACTACAGATAAATGATATAGATAATATAAATATAAATTAATAAGATATGGGAGCTTATGTTGTAATAATTAGTCAAGTTGATAGAATATAAAATATAAGTCGGGATAGTGTTTACAATGTCCTAAATTTCAATGTCCAGATTGGTCAGCCAATTTGTTGCTGCTGTTGTGGCCTTATGGAGGTGTTTCATTCCGCCTCGTATGCTGCGTATTGGGCATTCTTCCACGATGTGATTGGCTGTCTGAGTTTCATGTCCGCAGTCGCATTGTGGTGTGTCCCGAAGTCCCCATTTATGGAGCATATTTCCTGTTTTTCCGTGGCCAGTTCTAAGTCTATTTANCCGCAGTCGCATTGTGGTGTGTCCCGAAGTCCCCATTTATTTTCCCCATTATATTTCCTGTTTTCCGTGGCCAGTTCTAAGTCTATTTAGGGTCACCCATTCCTTCCGGGGTAGTTGGAACCCCGGAACCCTTTCTGTAGGTTGTTCTATGAGATTAAATTTGTCGGGATTATTTAGTCTCCATTCTTCAGTCCATTTAGAGTTAAGGTTATAATTAATTAATTTTTGTGCCAGCTTCCAAGGAGGCTTAGTGCCAGCTTCCAAGGAGGCTTACGAGATTTTAATCTTTGGCTGGGATTATTATTAATGTACTTGTGTATGGGTAGACTTCGATTTAAGGCATGGTTGTTATATTCTCGAACTAGTAATAAAAAAAAGTATCTTCAGAGGTGGGGTGGCGCTGTATTGCTCAATACTGGTAGCCAAGAGGCTGGTGTTGACTTAATTGCTCCGGAAATTGTCCTCATTGGTGCGTTTAATTGGGTGTCTATTTTACTTGTATGTGAGCTGTTAAGCCATACTGGTGCACAGTACTCGGCTACCAAGTAAGTGAGGGCGAGTGCAGATATCCTAATCGTGTTCGCATCTGAACCCCAGGTAGTTTGGGCCAGCTTATTTATTATATTGTTTCGAATTTTAATCTTTGCTGCCACCTTGGTTAGATGTTCTCTGTATGTCAGCGTTCTGTCTAATGTTATTCCTAAATAGGTTGGGTTGGGATTATTCCTAATTTGTTGCTCATTGAAGACCACCTTTATTTCCTGTCTTGCCATTTTGTTGTTGAGATGGAACAATGTAACCTCAGTTTTAGTTGGGTTTGGTGTAAGCCTCCAGTTATTGCAGTACTTATTTAATTCACTCAGGTCTTCCGTGAGATATTTTTCGCAGAGTTCGTATGTCTTTTATTGACATAGGAGAGCTATATCGTCTGCGTAAACGAACTTATTGGACTTGGTGTTGGGTAGGTCACTGGTGTATAAGTTGAATAGTAAGGGAGCTAGTACAGAGTCTTGTGGCAGTCCGTTATTTAGGGTTCTTTGCTTGTTTTTACTATTACCTATGGTTACTGTGAGAAATCTGTTACTCAGCATACTATTTATGATACCAG